ACATGGGGAGGGCAGAGGGGGGAATAAGTCTTTCTGCTGGGCTAGGGGAATAGCCCTGTTTCTCCTTCTCAGCTCCCTCCATACAGCCTGCTGGGATGACCGCTGGCGATAACAAAGGAGAACAAAGCGATAAAGCGATAACACAAAGCGATAAAAGGCGTTAGAACATTTGCCATTGTAAGCTACTCTTTGAGTAAACTGCCTGCTGGGAGGGCTTTTATTCCATAAAAATATACACTCTTGAGGGAACGATCCTGCTCAGACTTTACCTGATGACTATCTAAATTGACCCAAGAAAACAAATGTAGGAGACAAATAGCAAATCTGTGGAATTAAAGTAGATTCCTCCTGCCCCGCCCCCCCAAAAGTAACACCATGGCTTAGCCGGAGCCCAGTTCTCCACCAAATTCTCGCAGCAGTCAGTGGAGTTAGTCCCAGAGAAGTGGGTATAAGATCGAAGCCTCAGTGTCCAAGCATAAAGAACAGGGCTTAAGGCTATACTTGAGTGCATGTTTGCACAGAAAAAAGTCCAGCATCCAACATTTTCCCAGCTAACATGACTGGCTGAGGCATACAGGGAGCTGGAGGACTTTTTTCTATCCAAACCTGCATACAATTGCCCATTAACTGAGTCAACATTGGTAAGCTTTAGTTGACCAGGACGTGGCCTGTGTGTTTTACTTGCTTGCCTAGGTGTGTTGAAACTCAGAGCATTTAAGTCAAGCCAAACTGTAATATTAGAAAGACAAATTATCAAGTTTGGCCAGGCTTAACAAAAAGGATATTTAGATTTGTGTACATTGACGTCCACAGCCATTTTGGACCTGAGGACACATTTGAAAAACTGCTGCGGATTCCTTCCCAAAATGCCTAATCGGTCAATTGGCAAGTATTTACCTGTCAAGTCTGTGGTTTCTAGGCTAAGTCTTATTAGACAAATTTTTAAAAAGGTTTTGTATCTACCGGACACTGCAATGTTTCTTTAATTCAGGTTTTCCTTATTTGGCTAATTGCTGGCAATGCAGCACTGCTAATGTTTCTTATATGTTTTGGAAATGTTCCGTAGTTGCTTCTTCTGGGAAGGGGTGATTGCACAGATAAATTGTGTGCTGGAACAGTATTGAATACTGATGAATGTAGACATTCTTTCTAATTTTTTACCTGCTTCATGAAAATTAAGGAATAGTCAGTGTAAAGAGATTATCCATGCCCTTTAAACAGCTAAAACAGATATTACAAAATTGGGAGAATAAACATCTCCTATAATGCACTGGAGTGAGGATCACACAACACTTTTGATATAAGAACAGGTATCCTATAGACACCAACTTCAAATGGATACTTACTTGGTATTTGGTCCGCTTTTGTTGAAGTCTATGTATAATTGATACATATATATTGATCGATATAGATGTATACAAATACATGTGCATATGTTTAAAAAGACAGAAAAAAGGAAAATAATTAAAAGTTTCATGAATGCCATGTTGGGGTGCCTTCTGGGGGTGCTACTGAAAGTAGTCAGGGGTGTCCTCCTGGGTCCCAGCTATGCACGTTTACCCAGATGTAAACAGTTCCATGTTTCATATCAGGGCAGCCAGAAGCAAACTGCATATTATTCCTGTAGTTATGACAGTGCTATGATTTGGAGGAATTTAAAAAAATGTGAAACCCTACATGCTTAGAGAATTTCTTGCAAGAGTTGCTCTTGCATCTCGGGAATGTAGAAGCGGTTGCAATAAAGCGTGGCACGATGGGGGTGCTCTGCAGGGAGGGGTGCAAGTCTTCAAAACAGAGCTCAGCACATACGTGGCCATCGAAAGGGAAGGCTCCAAAAGACCTTTGGGTCCAGGGTCTAAAATGACCTTGCTGCACTGCTGGGGTTAGTGAGGAATTTTTCTCGTGGCTCTAGAGGGCAATGCTGGGCTCAGACCTGGGACTTTTACTTGCGTGTACAGCACGTGCCTTTCCACTGGGCTGTGAAATGTCCTGCTCTGCTCGGTATGCCGTCCATCTGCAAAGACAGCCATCATCTGTTATTGGAAGTGCCGCTGGCCTGTCCCCAGCAATGTTGGCCTCTGTCTTTCAGGGGCTCCGTGAGAGCGTTTCCGACCTCAGGCATCGCTACCCGCTTCCCAGGGCTGATTCGTCCAGTGCTTAAAGCAGGGATCTGAGAGCTACCCCCGTGCCTGAGGGGGTGTGGGGGAGACAACGTTAACTGTGTGTTTTTGTTTTTACATTTAACTAGCTGAATAAACACATCTCCAATCAGCATCCCTTCCTGTGTCAGAGCAATTAACCTATTTGCATGCATTAGATTTCAATTAGCATATATTAGATTTCAATTAGCAATTAGCAGAGAATCCATTCCTTTGCATGGCAGGGTACAGCATATTTTTTTCTCGGATTTCTTCCCTACCCCTTCAAATTATTATTGGAGGCAAGCTCTTTTTAAAGCAGGTAGCTATTCAGAGAACATATTAGAATTCGTTTATTCCAGGAAGCCACCTAATTTTACCTTTGTTCTACCTCCTGCTGGTATCCAGCTTTATACACTAGCAATTGCAAGGCAAATAAATATAAACATAAATATCATCATTGGTTTCTACTACAATCATGCTAAGGTTTCCTTAATTTTTGCAAATTTTGATATTTATATTTTATCCATATTTAGCAGGCATCATTTATTTCAAAAATCCTTCCATAATTTAAGGTCATGTCCTTTATTCCAGGTCAAACAGAGCACAATAGTGTTCCGTATATTACACACACACACACACACACACACCCCAGATCCTTTGCATATCCATTTCTTTCCCCAGTAGAACCAGAATGATTGTGCATTTGGCATTTTGGTTTGGCAGCACAGACCCTGCATGCAGGGCATTTTGACACTAAGGCTTAAAGTGTTTCTTGCTTTGATCCATTTGCAAAGCAAACAGAAAATCTATATCAGTCTGAATGCTCATTTGCCGTATCTCCTATGCCAGGCTTCCCCAGAGAGGTGCCCTCCAAATTTGTCACTGTAATTCCCATCGTCCCCATAGTATTTGGGAGCTATAATCCAACCACTCTTGGAAGAAGGCTTCCGTGCCTTCTTAGAAGGGGAAGGCTATTCTAAAATCATCCACATATTCATATAACGAATACAAGGTAACAAACCCCCACGTGTGAGAACAATATTGGTAGTCAAGAAATGAAAATAATGGAACTGTCTTTAAAAGCAAGCAAGCAAGCAAACAAAAGGCTTAATTATTAGGATGAATAACCTGAAATAAATATTTTGCTTTTCAAGGTGCAGACACTTTTTCTGAAGCTGTGTGGAGGGCAGGGTAACAGAGGTCTCTAATGCATGCCATACGAGGGGCAACACTGGTATTCTTCCCCATCAGCCAAGGATGACAGAGGTGTATACAAGTTCTCCTCACAACAACCCTGTAAGGCAGGAATGGGGAAGCTGCGACCCACCCAACGTTGGTGAGCTCCAGCTTCCATGAGCCCGAGCCAGCATGGGAAAGGTCTTGAATGATGGGAGTTGTCACACGAAAACACCTGGGGGGCAGCAGGTGCCTCACCCTGGCTATGCACGCCACTGCTCCCCGGTGAACAATGCAGACACCCCCATTCCAAACTCAGCACTTCTCTCCATACATCACATTGGTTCAGGGGTCGGGAGGTGTGTGAAAAGTTTCACTGTGGCAGCCGTTTTGGGGCAGACTTTGAAGAGTAGGTGAGTTTTTCCCTTCGTGGAGTAAGGCTCTCAAACATGTCATGTCAAGATCACGTCTCCCCCAGCAACCTCCCTCACCCCCATGTGTGGACAACTCCGAGCATTTCTGACGTCTGGCCAAGCTTGTTGGGACTGATAGGAGTGGAAGTCCAAAACCTTTGCAGGACATCCAGGTAGAGAAGGCTGGCCAAGAGCATCGACCCCAGAAGACCTTCTCTGCCTGCTCCACACAGGCGTCTTCTTTTGTGAAATGGGTCTCACTTCCACTTGAGTTGCTTGTTCCTTATCCCTCTTCCCATACACACCTACAGAGGCTGGTTCATACATGCACATCCATCTTGGGAACAGTGCCATATCAAGAAATTGTGTGGATGGGAACCACAGCAATACACCCAACTGAGCCAGAGCGCGATTTCTCCGCACCTCACCTTGCCTCACCTCACCTCACCTGAAATGCCAGGAACCTTCCCACCTGCCATGGTTGGAGCCAAACCGAGACACAATCGTGACTGTCTGGAAGGCTTCAACATAAAAATGCCCCAATCCTGTAGAGAGCACAAGGGTTGGTGGGAGAAGCGGTCGTGTGTGCCTGCCTGCAGGGAGCGTGTTTCCAATTTTAACACCAATAGGCTCAAGGCTGCCAAACGTCTAACTTGGCTGCCTAAACTGCCAGTCCCTGAGGTCTGATAAATGCATGCATGTGTGAACCAAGCCAGAAGGATACTTTGCATGGGACCCGCCAAGGTGCAGTGGATTCTCTCTGCTGGTCGCGCTAAATGAAAGCAGACCGTTTTAGGGAACAGAGGGAGAGGAGACACAGACGTGCTTCCATGGTCCTGAACTTTCTTCTCGGCTGTCCTCTGAGGAGAATACTAACAACCTGGGATCGCCATGGGGCGGATGGAGATTATCCACAGCCGTCCACTGCGAGTCCCAAAAATCTCCCAGCCACCCAAGGCAAGGATTTGTTCAGATACCTCCCCCACCGCCGCCACCACCACCCTTCTCTCATGCACAGGGGGGAAAAGTGATGCTCCCCAGGTCTCCACCACACACATAAGCTAAACCCCAGAATGAGGACTGCCACCTAGCAGGTGACGCAACTAAGAGCTCTCCGAGCAATGTCACCTTTGCACGGGTGGAAACAAAGCCTGGGAGCGGGTGTTGGAGGAAAGCCGCTGGCGATCACAACGTCGAAAAAAGAAAAGAACTAGAGCAGAGCGAAGAATCCCCAGTGCCAGCCCTCGCTTTGGGATCCCTAACCGCCTACCTGGGATCGCCAGGTTCGACAGGGGCACGTTATGGATGCCTTCCGGCAAAGTTGCCATCCAGTCGGCGAATTTCAGCTCCGTCTTGCCCTGCGATGAAGCCATGCTTGCTGCTGGAAAGCGCGGGGCAAGGAACGCTGCTGGCTGCTGCCGTCTCTCCTTGCTCGGCTCAGCTGGGAGCGGCAGCTCCCTCCTCCTCCTCCTCTTCTCCTCCTCCTCTTCCCTGGAGCCTTGAATCGCAGCCGGTTTGCGCCTCTCCAGCCCTCGCCTTGCGAGAGAGTTTACACGCCGCGCCGCGCCACACCCACTGGCTGATGGCGTAGGCACATGCTAATTCGACTTCGCCTGCCAACGGCTCCAGGCCGCTTCCGGAGCCCGCTTCGCCCCGGGGCCGGCGAGCCGCGCGCGGCAGCAGCAGCAGCAGCAGGAGCGGCACCGGCGGCGTCGCCTCGGCTCTGGCCGCCCGTCGCGAAGCTCCGCCGCGTGCCGCAGGATGCTCGGCGCGGCCGCGGCCAGGGTGCTTCCGTGGAAGGCAGGGGAAAGGCTCGGGCAGCCCACGGCCACGAGCAAGCTCTCCTCCCTCTCCTCTTCCTCGGCTCTTCAAGGAGACTGGGGAAGAGGGGAAGGGAAAGGGGCAGGCGAGCGTCTCCTGGGACCGCCCCTCTGCCCCCTTGGGGTGGGCAAGCAGGATGAAGCAGCACCGCTTCCTGCCTCTTCATTCTTGCTCAGGGCAGATTGGGCCTACAGGGATCCCTGGAGCCGCTTGCCGCATCCAGGTGCCCACTAGACCTGTCGGACTGCAATTCCCAACATTCCCATCCAGCACAGAGGTCGTCGCAGGCCCAAGGATGGAGGGCACCAGGTCTGAAGAAGCCTCTCAAGGGAGAGAATTTGCAAACACTTCAGTCATGCTCTTTCTTAGCATGGGGTGGGTGTATCAGCCAGCTCATCCTCTCTGTTACCTGTGTGTTCTTTCCCACTCTTTCTCATGAACGCTCATGAATGTTGGGATTGAACCCAGCCTTTTATGCTGGGGTTCTCCAATGCAGCACCCAAAGGCATGGCTGTGGCACCCACAAAATTTCTATCCTGCTCCCCTTCCGAATAACCATTTCCAGCCTTTGGAAAAACCTGAGGGCAGTCTCCTTTGCTCCTTTTCTAGCCTCTTGCCCTGTGTTTGCTTTCCTCTCCTATTTCTTTGCCTTGCCATTTCCCCCTCCATCTCTCAATTTGCCCCCAGTTTTTAGCTCACTGTTTTTCCCCTTCCCATCTTCTGGCCCTTTTCTTTCTCTGTCCATTGGCCTTGCTGTTTCTCTTCCATCTCTAGCTTCGCACTTTCTCTCCCCCTGCCTCCTTGCCCTGCTGTTTTCCACTTCCCAGACTCGGTGTCTTGCTCTTTCATCCTCCCTCCCAGTCCCTCTTGTCCCTGTTTCTCTCCCTTCCAGACGGCCTCGTCAGTCCACCTAACAAGCCAGGCCTGCTCCACGACCATTATGTGACTAGTTGCTTCCTTTGTGGCAGCCCTTCTGTGCCTCAGTTTCTCAAACTCCTGGTTGTCCTGCAGATCCCAAAAGGCTGGGCACCCCTACTGTATCCACCACCAGGGAAAACATTTGATATTTCCAGCACTGAACAATGGCATTCATCTTTCTTGGTCCCTGCATTAGAGGTGTCATTGGTTCCCCCACCTTCTGTTCCTCCCCACCAGGAACATACAGATGTGACTAAAGCAGCTGCCTTTTACCAAGTCAAACCATCAGGCAGCCTAGTTCAGCATTGTCTGGACTGACCAGCCATGGCTGTCCAGAAGCTCAGACAGAAAGTTTTCTCTGTCCCATGTAGCCAATCCTTTTAACTGGCAGTATCACACACCGAACCTGAGAATTTCTGTATTCACAGTGGATTCTCTAACCTCTAGAAATTGCCTTTTAGAACAGAATCTTTTCTAATGAAAGCACAATTGTGTTGCATGCCATCATGTTGTCTTCCAGTTTTGGAAATCCTATAAATGAGTACCTTCCAGAATGTCCTGTCCTTAAGCTCTTGTGCACTTGCTTCTTTATCAGATCAACCCATCTTGTATTTGATTTTCCTCTTCTGCCTTCAACATTGCTATCTTCACCAGTAAGTCCACTGACTCAGTTCTATCATGTTTGCTTCCAGAGCAAGTTCTGGCTTGATTTGATCTAAGACCCACTTGTTCATCTTTCTGTTGGTCCAGGATGCTTGCAAAGCTCTCCCCCGATGTTTCGAATGCATCAGTTTTCCTCCTGTCAGCTTTCTTCACTGTGCAGCTTTCACGCCCATAGATTGTGATTGGGAATACAGTACTGCAGATGGTCCCAGTCTTGGTTTCTAATGAAACGTCCTTACACATGATGATCTTTTGTAGTTCCTTCATTGCTGTCCTTCCAAGTCTCAGTCTTCCAATTTCTTGGCTGCAGTCTCCTTTGGAATTGGTGGTGGAGTTAAGATGTGGAAAATCTTTTACTATTCCAATTTCTTAATTGTTAACATTAAATAAAGTTGTGTAACTGTGGCAGCTGCTCCACTGAGGTTTACATTTTTGTTCCTTCCCTCCGGGTGACTTACCTGCATGAGTTTTTAAAATTCAGTCTTGAATGTTTCTTGTTGCTGATGGTTTAAACCTATTTTTAGATATATGTGTTTCTTTGTATTGTATGTTTTTTTGTAGACATGTTTTTCTTATGCAATTTTGGGGTCTTAATCTTTGTCAACTGCTGAGCAAGCGTCAGCTATTGGGCAGTATAGAAATTCAATACATGAAATTAAACATAATGCAATACTTCCCACACCAAACTGTTAGGCTGTTTCCTGCCAAGAGAAGCAAAAACTGAGCAACTGTGTGGAGAATGTAGGTACCTTCTTGATCACCTACTTATCTGTGGGTGGCTGGGGAAGCATAAGGAAGAGAAGGTAAGGGCTGCTCCCATCTCCTCTCCTTTTTCAGACACTGTTGCCAGAGGTCAGAGGTTGGTTTTCTCCCACTCTCTTTCGCCTTCCAAGCAAATCAAGACAAAAGACTTCTAACTACAGTCTGATTATGTGAAAACTGCCCAGCTAAGCTAGATTCTGAGTCAAAGGAAGTCATTAGCAAAAGGCACCAGAGCGGTTAGAATACCAGCCAGTAGGGAAATACAGCCCAATGTTAAGAAGTTGGTTGCAAACTGAATTCCCATCCTCCCTTCCTGACCAAAAGGCTTTAACTCCGCCCTCCAGGTGTTTTCTGCTCCTTGTGGGCCAGATAGCAGGGCTGTTGAATGCTGTTGAATCAGTCTGCCCTTTTGATCAGATGCCAGACACTGGAGATGTGGACTCTCCCTCACTGGCGACATTAAAAAAGTGTTTGGATGGTCATCTGAATGGGATGGTGTAAACAGCAGGAGGTTCTGGCCCCTTCCAACTCTACGATCCTATTCTATGCACTGTTCCTGTTATATCCAGCCCACTCTGGCTCTGCCTGTTTTCCCCAGAACCAGATCTGGTCTCATTATCACCAGCCTCTTGGCTTATTGCTGAGTCTGCTGGCCTCTGCATTTGAGCTGAGTCCCAACCCTGCCTCTTGTTTCAGTTCTCATTTGGATTCTGAGGTGTCAACTTTGGAATGTGGTATTTTGTATTTTGGGAGAAGTGGGTCCAATCCCTGCCACTCCAGCCAGGTGAGCAGAGTCCTATAAGGAGGGCAGGGGGAGAGAACACAGCTGGCTCTCCTCTCTCTCTCTCTCTCTCTCTCTCTCTCTCTCTCTGGTTCATGGATCACATTGAATTGGTCAAAGAAGTAGCAGTCATCTCTTCACTACACGGTGGTGGGGATTCTGCACACTGCACCTACTCTGCCCTGGTGTAGCACCTGCAGAGAAAGACTGAGAAGAGGCAGAAGCTGCCCACCCCATCATTCTGTCTTTCTTTCCCCGAACGGCAAAGCTTAGCCTGTGATGCCCGTTCCCTCTGCAGTGTCTCACCTGCTTGATGCATCTGTCCCACTGGGTGATGCAGCAGGAAGAGTTGATCTTAGCAGAGCCATCCAGCGGGAGAGAGGAGAGGAAGGGGCAGGGGGCGGCTCTCAGAGGGCCTTCCCCTGCCCACTCACGTGGTCTCCATCAGTGGGGGGAGTGAGGAGCAGCTGTCCCCCATCCTGCTCCACCTCCCTGCCCCTCTCAGTGAGCTGAAGGGCTGAACTAATTGCAGTGGAAGCCAGCAGCTCCGGTAGCAGTGGGTGGTGTATCCACCCTGGGTTTCAGTCTGAAGTGCCAGGAGCTATCTGTGGTGCTGAACCCTATTCTCAAAATAAACTCAGCACCATGGAGAGCTCCTTTAAGGTGCAGGCAGAAGTCTAGAGCAGGTGCACCATCCCTTTGACATTGGAGCCACCAGCTATGCTGGCTAATTAGCACTGCACGCCATACCATACCATTCAGAGAGAGGGACTGAGAGCGAGCGCATGGGGAATGTGGGAAGATGTAGATTTTCTTCCTGAGTATGCGTTGGACTGTGCCCGTAATGTCTGTTCGTGCTTCTCATAAGAACCTAAGGAAAGGCATGCTGGACCAGACCAAGGTGGCAAAACAGCTGCCCACGGGATCCCCCGAGCAGGATGGGTGCAAGACCTCCTCCTGATCAAGTTCCCCAGCAACTGGGGGATGCAGGCATCTGCCTCTGGTGAAGGAGGAAGCACTTGGCCAGCAAGGCCAGCAGCCACTGCTAGCCTCCTCCTCCATGGATCTGTCCAATCCCCTGTGAAAGCCACCCAGCCTGGCAGCCATCACCTCTTCCCATGGCAGCCAGTTCACAGCTCAACTATATGCTGTGTGAAGAAGTGCTTCCTTTTATCCGTCATAAACCTCCCACCGGTGAACTTCACGGGATGACCCTGGGCTCATAGGAGAAGGGAAAAAAAGTCTTCCTCTTTGCTTTCCCAACACCTTGTATTATGTTGAACACCTATATATTGTCTCCCCTCACTCATCCTTTTTTCTGAGCTACATGGTCTCAGTTGTAGCCACTACCAAAACTGTAGGTGGCCATGTGGGTGCATTCAAAAATTGGATATTGCTATGCTGCATTTGTTTTGATGTTAAAATGAGTTTTTATTAGTTGTGCTGACATAAGCCTAAAAAGGGTAAAGGGAAAAAATTATCCAAACATGCACAGTATGGCTAGGACCAAACGGGAAGTTGTCTCTGGAGCAAGCGGTTGAGTTCTCCTGGGTGATTCATCAGCTGGATGCTTTTCTCCCC